CATAACTTGCATAGCCTCCTTGTGCTACATCTTCTAAACCTCCAACAAAAGCACCACCCTGTAAACTTCCACTATAACCAATACCTCCCGCATTTCCATCAAAGGCAACACCATCTTCATCTGAAGTAATCCATAAAAAAAAAAAAAGTGAATAATGTACGTATGTATGTATGGGTGTATAAATTTCTAAAGTTTGTTCTGAAAAAAAATAAGTTAAACTCACCACCGACAAATTCACCTCCACCAGAAGTGTTTTGATAGAATGATGACTCTTCGTAAGACATTTCTCAGTCTAGTATCACGTTTTAATTATAATTATAATCTAAAGATAACGAGAAGATTAAATATAGACAAGGTGAAAGACATGAATTATTAACGTCAACTTGTTTGTCCTTTTTTCAAGTCCAAGAAAGGTATATACGTCTAAAAATACTGCACAATATATAGATAATACAAACCACTTTATATTCAAATAGAGAATAAGCTGATGGTGTGTCTTTTCTTTCATACGTGGTGTTTAGTCGGGTGTGGAATTTTCTGCGGTTTTTTTTTTCTTGTTACCAATACTTTCCGTTGACGTTGCTTTGTATCGATATATATGGTTGTACATTTGATACGCATGTAAAGAAAAAAATTGCACACGTTTACTACGAGTGATTTTGATTGAAGGCCAAATGCTTCTACATATCAGTGGCTTTGATGCACATCACATGCATAATCATTCAATCAGTCATTCGCCTATGCATTTGGTCATTCATCATGTTTATCAGTATTGAAGCAAAGAAATGAAAGAATAGTAAAATGTTTGCCTTGAGAATATGTTTATTTTCATGCATGTTCAACAGTAAATTGTTCTAATACAAATCAAATATACATTTTATATATTAAACACTTATCCTCAATGACTTATTTATAATTAATAACGACTAACTTTAGTAATGATGAAATTTAAATGAAGGCATTTTGATATCAGCCATCTAGATAGTAGGTAATTGTTTTATCATGGGCATCATAATATTCAACAATAACAGTAGTTTTAGAGGCAAACAGAATAATATACGTAAACAAGTCGATTGTTTAATACGATTTTTCTTTTTATTGTATTATACAAATCATGTTTTTTAAACAAAGCAAAATAGACAAAATGAAAGCTACAAGGATGTGTTGATAATTGTGTATAGTTTATTTGAATATAGTAAAAAGTATATTCATTTTTTTTTTGCAGTTATACTCGTCAGTTAGATGAGTTTTATTATAAAAAGAACGTTAAAATGATGATTGTAGAACTGTCATTTTATGGTTTTATTATAATAAATTAAATAACAACGAAAATTTTTTACTCTGGTTTTTGATTCTAACAAATTGTCCAACAATAAACTTTTTTCTTTCTTTATTTAATTATCTTGTATTATTCAAAAACTAACACAAAATGAAAAAAATAGGTAAAACAAAACTTTCGTATACTTCGTAGTTATTATTTGAGTTCTGTTTTCAAAAAAAAACCATAATAAGATGGTTGAGTGAAACGTTGATTTCCTATTTATTTTTATTCCTAAACTGAAAAAACCACAGTTGGAAAAACTGCATTCATGAATAATAAAAATTTTACACAATCTAAAAGTGACATATACAATCCGTCCAGACTTTTGTCATCACGCTCTAGACATATTCATAACTGAATATAAAAACATCATTTTCCTAATTAGAATACTCGACATATCGACATGGATCACGATTAACGAAAGCTAATGCATTGGAACATAATCAGTAATACAATATACTCTTGTATCACATGTTACATAAACATAACTAATAAAAATTGTACACAGATCAAGCTCATTGATTTAAACATATTGATCAAAACAAGATAATAAAGTTGGTTCACATTGAGAATAAAAAATGCATAAGAATGGGACGACCTTAATATTCGATATATTTTTTCTTATGACACATGTGCATATAAGTATACAATAATAATCTGATATAAATTTATCTATGTTAAATTGCTCACGATAATATCGAATTTGTAAACACAAATTAGTTGTATACGTAAAGATATTTTTAGCATCTGATATTGCACCCATATATTATCAATTTTCAGCTATCAGTTTTGTCTATTGCTCATTATTTAGCACTTACTAGATATTGTAAAAAAATTATTTTTCATTAATTTATAATGTTTTTAGTATAAAAAATACATAAAAAACAACATACATTATTATTAGTATTGGTAATATTATTTTAACCTGTTGTCGAAAGCATTCATTCATATGTAGTTGCCAAATCTTTTGTCGTTATTAATATAGATTTATAAGCGAAATAACCTGTATCTGTTTTATGATTCAGTCCAAGTTTATGATCAATTTTGTGAACAAGAACGGTTCTTGAATTCTGACATACATGTATATACATAGTTTCTGTTCAAGTAAGTGTTAAAAATTTAAAATACACGTTCTTTGATCGACAACAGAACAAAAAACGGACATACTTTATGAAACATACATGATTCCTTTGAAAGCGTCTTGATTTTGGAAACTCACTTTGCCTCTTAATGGATGATACCATAATAGTACAATTCAAATCCACCTGTTAAATTCTATATGAAGAAAGAAGTTTTTTTTTTATTGATTTATCATAGACTACAAGTTATTTTCAAAGAAAATATTCAAAAAAACAAGGCTGATTATTTTTAAGTAATACATGAGAAATATTTTAATACATAGAATATGTCATAATTACTTCAATTACAATGTCAAGATTATCTTTGAATTAAAATATCTGTCATAAGATAAAAGTTTATAAACAATACTGAGCTCAAGTTCACTATTTTTGCTACATCAACGATTGTTTACGTATACTATGCAAAAGAAAACGAAGAGGAACGAGAAAACAACTATTTTTGAAAAACAAATAATAGTTCAATACAATCATAAAACCGAGTACGATTAACCAATGTTAGATAAATAACACAGAAAAAAATCGAATGTCAACATACCTGCAAACAATGAAACAACAATATTTCTTACCAAAAAAACAACTACTACGCTGGTTTTGAAATATATCATCAAGAACTTTCTTCTCTTGTTAAATACAAAGTGTTGTATTATGATGTTTTTCATTATTCTATGAGATAATGAAATGCTGAAACAGTTAGTAAGATTTCAATAAGTATATTATATATTTCTTCCAAATCACTTCTTCTTCTACACATAGAACATATTGCAGCAATTTATTTTTAATAATTAACTATACTAATAAATTACTATCTCTACACACAAAAAAAAGAAATATCATTATTCAAAATGACGATTGGGTTCAGCCAGCAGACAGTCATCATCTACAATTAATATTGTATCTTTTGCTTTGAATTTCTTCGGTTTGCAATTTGGTTGACTCGTTTGGCTACAAAAACATGAAGACATGAAGAAAAAAAACAATTTTAAATAAAACCGAAAATATGTGCCGTAACAATTCATGTTCATTTTTGCAGCTGATAGTGAACTCTGGTTTTCTTTGTTGACAACGATCAAATACTGCCGTTTTTTATATTGTCAATCAGTTTCAGATCTTGTTCCTTATATTTTATTGACATCTAAAACAAATAGATGATTTCTATAATTTATCTTATGTATGTAAAAGAAATTAACTAGTTACCAATTCGTTTGAAGTAGACATTATAATCAATAATATTTACAAATGTTTTTACAATCCTTGACGATACGATAATGATAAATCATTTGTCTAATTATTATATAGAAAGATATCAGTTAAATTGATCACATCAATTTTAGACGTATATTAATGTCAATTAGACATCATCGTTAATGCATGTATCTATATATGAGACGCTAAAAATGTACCAATTAAAGAATAATTACAAATTACAAGAAATTTCTTGCTGGATATACATATCATTTTTTTAATTAACTAACTTTTTTTATTTTTTTTTCTTGAAAATTGTTTTTTTCTATTGGACACAAACACACATGCTCTTGCATGATGAAATCAGAATATGTGAAAATGGATGACAAAACAAAAACGTTGATTCTTGCCTATAAATTTATATGTAAAATCAATAAACAACCTTATAGTAATTCAGCATTTTGTAATTTAGTACGTTAAAGAAAAACGCCAATTTTTTTTTCTATAGTTTACTAATTTCTTCATTTTTAGCAAAATATGCGAGAAAGGAAAATATTGATTAATGTGTTCGTTTCTATAATGAGAGAAAACAAAGTTGACATGCATATGAAATTATGTCCATATTTTGATCTTTAATATTGAGTAAATATTTCCCAAACTACTGTCCTATAGTTGTTACTATTTGACATAATATGAAATGTCAAATCTTTTATTCTTGTCAGTAGATTTGTAAAATGGTATATTAGAATTCTATGTACATTGTGTTCGTGTCCATTATCTTGCAGTCGATTTGGCGTTGAATATATTTTTCATCTATTACTTGTGTACACTTTTATTTGATCGACAAAAGTATTTTTACTACTGCCCGGTAGTTTCACTTGTGCTAGTATAGGTAAGCATAGATGATTGAATGTTTTTTTTTCTCGTTTTAAAGTAATGAGAACAGCATTAGCGCACATTTCTTCGAAAACTTTTTTTAAACAACAAAGCCATTCTCTAAAATGTGAGATGCATTAAAATACAATAGCAATTTAGCTTTCGATAGTTGTAATTGTCGATGTTGAATTATTATTTAACATAATCGCTTGTGTGTCAAGTATGTTATATGATGCAGCAAAGGAAGAGAAAGATGAGAAGACAAGTGTTTCTCATCTTTCTCTTTCTTTTCTAGTTGTCGACATATTCAAGTGGATGAAATGTCGTATTTCTTCACTTTTCTCTCTCTCTCTCTCTCTCTCTCTCTTTCTCTCTCTGTCTTTCTTTCTCTTTTCGTAACTATAAATAAAAAACATAACAATTAACGTGTGTTCATTGTCATTTTTTTCATTGTACCGTTTATCTAGACATACGACTACGTGATGCCAAACAAATCGTCAAAATTACCTACATTGAAGAGAGTTAAAAAAACCTATCCTCCAAAAAAATCTACTACTCCTACTTCATTCTGTTCTGGTATATCAAGTGTACAATATGCTATACAACAACGGTATATGAATGAGAAAACATTTTATTTCAATTCTCATGTTAATTTTTACAATTATTTAATTACTTTAGATTATTACGATCTCAACATTCTACTCGAACGAAACGTGATGTTGAGCGTATAACTGAAGTTGCACAGAGAAGCAGTGATCTTCCAGTTTATCATCACCCATGGGAATCGGAATATTACAAAATATTTACTCGAGAAAAATATATAAAACCAATGACAAAAGATCCATATACACCAATGACACGATCAATTTCTCATGCTGTCGAAGATGTAACAACCGAAACTGAATGTTGTCCCTTTCTGATAGCAGCTGAAGCTGTAAAAATCGAAACATTCAATATACAACAAGCACCTGGACGACCAGGTAATAAGTTCACATTATTATTAGTTTTTTTTTCTATTATCATTTGAATTCTTTTAGTACCAAATGTCATTCGTTACTTGAGACGTACGGAACCAATGCCGCCGGTACAACCTGCATTATCTATCACTCCAGTGAAAATAATATCATCATCTCAATCACAATATCAAAAACCAACTATATCAATTATGGATACTAGAAAGGTAGATGGTACTGCTCCTAATTTAGTTACAGCAGATCGGTTATTAAATCGAACTAAAACGCGTAACGATGCATCCGTTATTCGAAGGCCACCAAGAAAATTAGATTTGAATGTTACTCATGAAACAATCATGCCACTATCAGTGTATGGTTGAACGAAACTCATTAACAACTCTTATTACTATTCTATTAGTCAGAGAGTATATATTTTATATTTTTTGCTGTTTTCTTTTCTGTCATGTTATCTTATCGAGATTAATTTTAGTGTTTTTATGTATATCAAAGAAAAACAAAGTAATGTAATATTATAAAATGAAACCACGTACAGTATTATTATACGGTTATTGTAAGAAAAGTTAAACGAAACTGATTGATTTCTCGTCATTTTTCTGAAAAAGCAATGCCTTATTAAGGACTGATATGTGTTGTCTTGTTATCTATATACAATAAAAGTGTATCATATAACTCTTTATTTGTACATTATTATTATTTAATCTGAATTGATTAAACTTTCATCGCTTTATCAAAAGAATATTTATTTCAATAATCACATTTGTCGAATGTCATTCTTACAGTATATTATTCCTTCAAGCAATAATAGCTCCGGAGAAAAAAAACAACATTAAAACGTGACTTAATTTTTTCTCACTGTTGTTTTTCATCTATTGTCTAGATGCCCGAGAGTATTATTTTATTATTTCTAAATTTTGTATTGAACTTTATAAAAACACTTGAACTTTGAATTTTATCAGATTTTTCTTCCGAATTTTTCAAAACATCATAAAAGATCTTCAATTATAATGTAAAGAACAGTTGAGTATTTTTGTAAATTTATAATAGAAAGAAACCTCGAGTAATGTCAAATTCAAGAGGAAGTAATGGATGAAATTTTTAAATAAATGATGATTTGAAGTCAAAATAAAACAATTTTTTTCCTCTACTCCAATACATACATTAACATTTATTTATCAAGATTTATAAGAAAAAAAGATTAAAAAAAAAGAGAATAGATAGAGTAATGATAAATATTAAAGTAAACTATAGCATAATGTCTTTCTAATTGTAGTTTAATCGATTGCTTCAGCCAAAAATGATTCATAAAGATTTTTCTGAAATGAAAAAAAAAGAACAGATAATAAGACTAAACAAGACCAATACAAAGTAAAACTTACTTGTTTAACACCGACATTTGTTTCAAGATGATGTTTAAATGCTATAAACATCTTTTTTTCTCGAGCATTAAGCACATCTTTTTGACGGCTAAACATAATAAATAATAATTTTAATTTATTTAGTTTAATCAATTAATACTTTTTTATAAAACGTCCAATAAAAAAAATAAGTCCATTAACAAATATAATTAGTAATAATAATGAATAAGCTGGATAAAAAAGAAAATCATCAATTGAATTCTAATTCGAAACAAAAAACAAAGAACATATCCGATAGTATTAAGATCAACATTTCATTGAAAACGAACGTCTTACAAGAGTAGAATTGATTTGCCATGATGTTGAAGATTCATCAAGAAATACAATTGGAATTTTTAAATGAGATGTTTCAAGATAACGTCTTAAAAGTAGTATAAATGAAAGTATAACAAGTAATAATGAAATGAACTGAACAATTGATAACTTAATACTCCATGATCGATGTTTGACTTGAGTTTTTCTAATAATAAGATCAAAGATATATTGACGAAACACACACGTACACAAATATATCTCCTTACTCATGTAAAACTAATCTTTCATTAATACATTCTTCCAATCGTTTACAATCGTTATGCAATGTATTGAGTGATTTTTGTACACCACTGAATACAGCATGATCGATTGTTGAACAAACTTCATGAATTTGATTTGTACAGCGTGTCTCCTAAGAAAAATATTCATTGATAGTAGATGTCTCAGAAGAAATTGTACTTCAATATCTACAAAATTGTTGACTTTGTTTCTCAAATAACTTGCTCTTGTCAGCATAAAATTTAGAAGAGGAACATCTACTTAGGCGTCCAATTACGACGGTCAGGAAAACAAAAAAACACTGATGACAATTTTTTCATAAAGGTCCTGACGAGTTTTCAATTATGTCGCACAATTTCCTTTGAATTTCTGCATCTCTGGATAAATGTTTCAGAATTTTAGACCTATATTATTGCCGTTTTCTAATTCGAAACACTAAAAATATTTTCACGGTTCAATTTGATATTTATACTGTTTTGTTCAGAATTAAATCCTACATCCAACAATAGAATAATAATTTTTTTAAAGAGTAAGTCTGGCTTTTGAAAACATGATTTTCTATAGTGGACTCAAAAATACCGATAATTGGTAGTTCCAAGTCTTTTTTCTCGTAAACATCAGCCTCAACAACCTTGAAAACGTTATTGAAGCATAGAACGCAAAATTCTCTATCTATTACTATTTAAATAGTTTACTTTTGACATTGGTTTTGATGAATAAAGTCTTTACACAAATCAATAAGCGTCAGCGAAGAATAGGAAATTGCAGTGAAATGATTGAGGAGACATAAATCCTTTAAATTTGGCATCGACACAGTGGAACTTGTTTGAAAAACAAAGTTGATAGTTTTTTACAGCTTGAACTTCTATATCTTTTAGCATATAAAGAAGACTTCTGATCAAGGGGGAAACGGCGGACTTGAAGTAGAAAAGTACGTCAAAGTACGTCAAAGTAGACTACTTGAAGTAGCTCAAAGTACCACCCAAGTAGCCCAAAATAGGAACAAGTAGCTTAAAGTAACTTCAGGTAACTTCAGGTAAATTTGAAGTTGAAAAATACTTCAAAGTAAGCTACTTCAAGTAGCTGAAAGTAACTTGAAGTAGCTCAAAGTAACTTCAAGTCCAAAAGTCCGCCGTTTCCCCCTTGCTTCTGATGCTTAGGAAGTAAGAGAAAAAAAGCACGAAAATGTAGTAGAATTTATTCTGAGACATCCATTATATTTCAGTATGATGCTTTGTTTTACTTTAGCTAAATCAGGTAAATAAATAGTTGGCATATCAAAATTTGTTTTAGAAATTTCTGGTTGTCGACATAAATTTTGTACAATTTGCATAAGAACACGATGTCGATCACGATCACTACCAGCTTCATCAGCTTTAGCTAAATAATAATGCATCTTTTCTGGATTTGATTTATTTAATTGTTCAACAAGTGTTAATGTTCGTTTGCATAAGGCTTGGCCAATAGGATCGAATAAAACAAATATGAGATCAACATGATTACCTTGAAAAAAAAAACAATTTCTTTGTTTTGAAAAACGAAAAACAGAATTTGGTGCAAACCAAGCCATAGAATTGCTTGTTCAACATCGAATGGATATGCCATAGCACCATCAACAAGACCGGGTGTATCAATAAATGAAACAATTGGAAATTTCTTTTGTTTTGATGAAGATATTTCCGTAGTTAAATAGTTAAGAAGACCTAGAAAAGATTTCATAAGAAAAAACTGAAAAAGAAATAACTGACCAGGAATATTTCCCAATGGATCAAGATAAGGAAATAAACGCATTGTCGCTGGACCCTAGAAATTAATCGATATATATATATATATATACATTTAGCTTGTTTATTTCTCCTTCTTTGACTTTACCATGAGTGATTCTCGTCGTTTACCACTTGTAATAATGGATATACCTGTAAATACAAATGTAGTTATTACAAGTGATGATTTTATTCTAATCGATTTACCTTGAGTTTCAATAGCTACTCCAGTACGTTGAACATTATCTTCAATATACCAATTGACTAGAGATGATTTTCCTTTTTATTTCGAAATACAAAACTAAATTGTCTATGTGTCAATAAAAATAAGATCGATTTACCAGCACTATGATTGCCAATAAGTAATATACTTATCTTCTTATTTGGTGCCATGATAGATAGACCAAGCCATCGGGCAATTGTAACAAGTCCTAAACCGATTTCAAATATGAATATAAACAAGATTTAAAACAAAACACGAACAACCTATGTCAGGATGATGATAAATATTTTCAATTTCATTAACGATCTGCTCGTAATGAGGTGTAATCATACGCTGCATTGATTCTGGTAAAGTACTGCTGCTCTTATTATTATTCATCATAGTAGAAGTCATTAGTAATATCAGTATAAATATAGTGTTTAGAAAAATGAAAATGTAAATCGAATATGTTAATCACACTACTGATAATATAGCACGTATAGATAGACAAAGTGATTGACTCATTTTTTTATTCGAGCCATTGTTCTAAACTTATCGATGGAAAAACCACTGGCAGATGTCGTGCATTATCATTAGAAAAATAATCTTTTTCTGACAAGAAAACACTGGCCTTCGTCAGAAGTTGTTTAAATTCATTGAACGATCACCATGCTTTATGTCAACATTGTTGATCCTTTCCTTAAAAGTTTTTGTCTATGAAAAACTAAAAAAATCATAGAGTATTATCCGTATTCAAAAAAAAAATAATATTTGTAGAGAAGCCAAATTCGATATAGATGAGAGTATTTTTCTTTACAATGAAGATGTATCTTAGAAGATCATTATCCAATCCGAGAAGACAGTAATGCATCGCAGTTGTTCGTCTCTCAGAATAAACGAATCTATATGAACGTATAACTTTAATGGACCATTTCATATGATAGCAATGTTTTAAAAAAACATTGTAAAAGATTATAAATGTGCTGTTTTGAATAAGAAAAATTGAATAAAACAACTTGTCTGAAATTTTGAAAATTTTCAGTAAATTCTTTTTCTTTTTATGAAAACAATGAAACAATTAATTACGACTTCTGTAAGTATGTACAAAAATCAAATTTGTTTCTCTTGTGCTCGTGTATTTAGGTTTAATAATTTCGTATGAGAAATTACTTCATCTAATAAAAAGTGAGCATATTATTTCATTCTGTTTTTGATTGAGATGCCAACTATTGATCGATAATTATCATTAAATTCATACAGATCATTTGAAATGAAGTTAGAATCAGTCATACTTATACGATTTAGATAAATATTTCAAGTATTGATTGATACTTTATTAAAATAAGTTTTATTATGATTCTGTCATTAGATTTCGAAACAATATTATTAGTTAATAATTTCAATTATTTAGCTATCAATTAAATTCTAGAGTATCATAGCAAATCAGTTACTTTCTTTGGTTCAAATCTATCATGCGAATAATTAAACTAAAAAGTAATGTTTCTATAAATAGAAGTGTTTATCGCTTTGAATAGAATATTAAATCTTTCCGATCAATTTATTTCTTTAAATTATAGTGATGCATTTCTCAAAACACTCCTAGTGTTATGTCAAACTCTTTTCTCCATAGCTTTAATGTGTCCAATGAAGTTTGAATTAATCAAACAATTAATCACTCGAGTTTTGTTTTTCTCAATAGTGTCCTGTGAGGAGAGCTTTCTTCAATTCCCGTTTTCGCACTCGTAAACAAAGATTTTTTCCCCGTTCCTGTAAGCAGAAATGTAAACCGATAAGCAGATTAATAATGATGATTATGTTTAGTGTTACTTCTTTTTCATTCGGTAACCACGATGATTGAATGTTTTGGGAGATTTCCTAAACCTTTTCTGTTTCAGGAACTTTTCAGATAGAAAAAAAAACACAAAAAAAATCATAGAGATCAAAACAACAAAAAAGTAAACAAATACATTCTCGAAAAAATGATCTTAGCAATCGTAATTTTTAAAAAATCTGTAATGTAAATTTTTGTTCCGACAATAACGACTCAGCCGATTGGCTTATATCCGAGGGAAAAACAATAGAGACTTCAGTCCTGAAGTCTACTGGAATATTTTAAAATTTCATGAAGCTTTTTTTGAAGTTCCATGTAGTGTTTTGGAATTTTCGAAATACATTTAGATCATGCAAAATTCATGAAGAAATCGAATTATTGAGATACTGTTTAAGAAATTTCAAAAGTATGACACGATACAAGACACTTGAAAGTTCTTCAGATAAATAGTTTTCATAACAATTATTAACTTCAAATATTAACAAAAGTCTCCTAATTCGAATGCCTGCGGTGTATATCATCCGGTGCACGATCGTCAATTTTTCCATTATTGATAATCTCTAAAAGTTCAAAAAGCATCTATAGATGAAGGTTTCAAGCAGTCACTTTTTCTGTGACTTCGATAGCTTCAGTTAAACGTCTGTATAACCCTAAAAATCATCGTAAAATCTATAAATCATAATGTATTCGAAAGCAGACTATATTGGACTATCTCACTATGTAAAAAATCTCACAATCAGATTGTTTTTAGCTAAAATCGTCTTCCTTGAGTGAGACTTATTAGATATAAAAATAAGCAAAAAGAAAACATACACATTTGCATCATCTATTTCATTATTTTCTCTTTCTCCTTACCATAACTTGAGGATATATAGGTAAAAATACCATTTCTGCAGCCACCCACACGTACATTCTACCGTAGAAAATAAACAAACAGACACTAGAAAAAGTCCAAAATAGATTCAATTCAATTCGGAACTGACACTGTTTTTGACATATTCACGAATCCAACTACCTACCTAAATTGAATGTGTATATGTAATAACAAAGCCCTTTCATCAGTAAAACTTTGTTATTTTTTCAATGAATACCTATAAAAATTCATTTTTATGTATCAAATAAAATATTTTTTTATTACTATAGAATCTCTAGTGGAAATCAGTTAATCTTGCAACTCTTTTTCATTTTACTTTAGTCGTCTCATTTTTCTAGGATAACACTCAGATCGACTAAATACCTTTTAATTATGCCAAATCTTCGCGTATTTCTATCATATCAAAGCATCTCATTATTCATAAATGTTATCATAAAGTAACATTCTGAACACCATCTATAATACACTAATAAAAATAAACGTTCAAACAGATATACAGTTGTTTTTTATTGTAGCCATACACACACACACACACATACATTGACACTTATAGAAAAGAAAAATACACGATAACCTCATAGGTTATTTCTGTATGTTTCATGTTTTTCAAGAGAAAGACAAAGACAACCACTTGTACAAAGAACAAAAAAGACACGAAAAAAGTTCGTCATTGAGAGACGACTTCGAGGAGTAGCAGTAGAAAAAGAAAACAACAACAAAAGAAAAAAAAATAGACACATTGTGCATTTTGCTGACGGATGTTTGTGGCTTTTGCTGAAACAATCTCTTCTATGGAACAGAAGAACTTTTTTTAATATGGATTAGAACGATTGTCTCTGCTTGAACCATGGCTCGCACCACGACCACTACCACGATAATCACCACTACGATCTCCACCTGATATGAAATAAACGCAATTGTATTAATAAAAAGTAAAAGGAAAAAAATATTCACCTCTACCACGATATCCACCATAATCACCACCACTTCCACTGGAGCTACCACCACCTCCTCCTACAATGACAAATAAAAAATGTATATTAACATTGAAAACAATGCCCATTTATTCATCTGCGTTTACCTCGACCACGGAATCCACCACGGCCACGAAATCCACCTCGACCACCCAAAGCAGAAGCACGCCGAGTGGCCAATGAGATTTTAACAATATTTGAGAGAACTTCTTTGTCTGTTTTTATGAAACAATAAATATAACATGTGAAATAAAACAAATGAAAACAATCTTACCATTATACCAATTGATAGCAGCTTGTGCTGCTTCTTCATCTTCATATGTAATTGTTGCTTCACCTTTACCTTCACCAGTTGCCTTGTCTTTATAAATCCAAATTTTTGGTGCACCTGTTTTTCTATCATTCTATCAAAAGAAAATATAAATTTTCAAAAAGAAAAAAAAATATATATATATGTATATAAACTATTAAAAGAATTCTATCTTACTTTAATTATTCCAATTTGACTGAATACTTCTCTAAGTTCTTCACTAGTTACATTGCGTGGTAAATTTTGAATAAAAATTGTGTCTCGTTGAGTTTCCATACGCTGATCATCTCCACCACCACTGCCACCATTATCATTGTAATCATTTCGACCACGATTATGTCCACTGCTACCTCTATCATCACTTTGATAGTCATTGCGACCACGATTGTAACTACCGCCACCTCCGCTTCCAGAACCTGCACAGAGGACAAAGTGTGTGCTGGTGCCATTCATCATCTTGTATGGAGTGTCAATTTTTGAAATTCCAAAAATCGACATACAAGACATGAAAAAAGTTTTTTACCTCCACCGCCACGTGAATTATAATCAGAATTTCTTTTTTGTCCACTACAAATGGCAACGAATAAGTAAATAAATTAATGCTAAAAAACAATATTAATCAAACTACCTGTTATTATCATAATTATTTCGACTACCGCTTGATCGTCCTGAATGATTATCATTACTTGAATGACTACCACCATATCTAGATATACAAAAAATGGAAACATGTCAAACAAAGAAATAAAAAACATGTCGCTAATGAACATCTCACCCTTCACCGCCACCAGAATCTCTGCCGTAGCTGGACATGTTTTATAGAAAACTTAATATATAAATCTGAAACGTAAACTGACGAGAAAACAAACGAAATTATTTTTATCTTAATAAAACGAAAAGAAAGAGAGAAAAGAAAGTAAACAGTACACTGTCCCTTTCCCAATACTGTTTCACATACAATGGACACAATCAAGTAACGAATCATAAAAAGTATTCAAAAAATAAAATAAAACAAACACAAACTCAAATAAAATTATAATTGTAGAATAAATTAAAATTATTTCAATATATTATATAAATTAAAAAGATAATCTTAAAAAGAAAAATGTAGACATTCTATGATTGACAACTATCTCCATCTACCAACAAAAACGAAAATTTAACATATTTCATTTTGTATTTCATGTTTACAACAAAAATATATATGATTCGTATACATGAGATATTGTGCTGCCTACGGCTACTATTTATTGTATAAAAAAAAAATCAAGCAAGTATACAATGAATTATATACAAAAGAGTAGTTAATGTTCTTCTTCATCATCTGTCGAATGTTGTTGTGCTGGTCGTTCCTCGTCTATCTCTTCTTCTTCATCACTACCTGTCGTATTCTTAGCAAAAATCAATCCATTACGAGTTAAACCA